ACAAAAAAACCTTGTTCTTTCGAGTCAGTTCCCGGTGTCCGCATCAAGCTCGTCGGAGCCGTCCGCAGTTGAACTTTTCCTCATCAGAAAACACGATCGCGAGGAAAAAAACTGAAAAAACAACGTAAGACAAGCAGTAGGGCGCCGCAGCCAAAAGCCAACCTCACTTCATTGGGCTCGGCAACATCTTCAAGCAAAGCCAATTAGGTTTCCCGATGGTTTTTCGTTAAAAAACAGTACGTAACTCCTAGTCCTCCTATGGGGAGTTTTTCAAGAGACGCCTGAGGTATTCTCCGAGACATTCGACCTCCGAAGATGTCTTGATTTCGCGACACCGACACTGCAGAGTTGGAGGTTTTTCAAGGATACGGCGGTTATTCCGATCGGGCAGCAAGGAAGGATGTCCAGAGCTCTTATCGGCTCAATATCCTGCGGGTCCCTTGGAAAAAATCGTTAATAGCATGATGAGTGCGGCCCGCATCCAGCGCCATTCGACGGTTCGACCGTTTTCGGGTCTTGCGATTATCTGTCCTTTTTTAAGAGCCGATAATAAATGTCTTCTTGCCAATAGCCTAGAAAAGGCAAAAGACACAATAATCAGACAGTTTTACACAACAAAAAAAGATAAAGAGAAAAGAAAAAAACATGAGGTGGAACTATCATTTTGCGGAATTGTCAGAGTGTCAATTTCAAAAAAAATGAACAAAAAAACCTTGTTCTTTCGAGTCAGTTCCCGGTGTTGGCATGCAAAGTGGTATTGATTATTACCTCATTTTCTATGTGAGCACATTTTTGAAAACCTCATGTGAGACGGGATTTTGTATACTTATGGGTGGATCTATCATTATGTGGAGCAGTGTGTTTAAAATGTGCCTATATTTGTTAAATATCCGAGTAAAATTCATAAACAGACCCATATGGAAGCGAGAACAGCGGAACATAAAAAATGCAAAAACCCGCGAGCCGAGGGGAGTCGAACCATGGAGCCCACCTTCACTGTCCGATTAAGAATCCTCCACGCTATCCACTAGGCCATCGATCGTTGTAGCTGAACACCGCTCTGATCGTTGAAGAAACCACTCCGACGAGTCGCTCAAAGCCGCTCACTTTTAATTACGTGCTTCAAGTAAGACCCCCTTTGCGACTATTTTTCTCCTCGATTCCTATAGTACCTTTATAAGGACCCTCCGCTTAGCAACTGGCCAAAGTTGCAAGTGATTTAGAGCCCATCGAGGATCAAAAACACTCGGGTTCCATGAACTTCTTTTCACTCCTCTTTTGGTATTCCCAGAGGCGTTCAATAAGAATGAGCATCAGTTTTACTCCATGTGTGTGACCCCACATCATGCAAAAAACGGTTTTCAAAAAGAGCTCCACGTCTTAAACAACGTCCTTGGTGAGCTTCATCGATAAGTGTAGTATAGATAAATTCAAAGCATTCGCCAAATCCTTTATCGGCAAGCTTTCGGCGATAACACCGCCATCAGACCTTCGAATTACAATACGTTAGCGACCTACAGCTACAACAATTACATCAACATCAGCATAAAGAGCTTGGGGTGGGGCGAGCCTGCCGGTTCGGCGTATGAGTTAGGAAGAGACTGCCCAGCAACCCTAAGGCACAAGGGTCATCTGTTGTCATATTTATCACGCCATTACCCTTAGGAGGTCACGTAACTCCTCTCACGCGTTGATTTCTGGCTTAATGCGATGGGTTTCCCCTCACGTCCATGATTCTTCTAATGGATGAGCCTTATCGCAGTATCTTGAGTCCAGTTGAACGAAAAGGAGTAAGGAATCTACCGTAAGCGAAAAACACTTTGAAGTACACAGTTAGAGACAAATGTGGAGCCTTGTAGTAATGCCACAAGTATTAAATAAGGCTCTCACGGCGCAAGTGCTTTCACATACATCCACATACGAACAAAGTACTTTGTCAGCATTCGAAACAGTATGCAGCAGATTGAAGAATGTCATCATGTCAGTAGTGAAGAAACGATTGAGCGAATGGCGAAACGACTGCATGGATCGTCCCCGACAGTGCCAACACTGTAGAACTTGGTGAAGACGCATAAGCTCTCATCAGTAGAGGATACAATGTCACTCCCATTGAACGAAATCAAAACAGGACCGATAGTCGCGTCATGAGGCGGCCCAGCGGACAGGATAAGTTGGCTATCAGTTTGACGTCTCTCGCCACTCCTGCGATTAATGGGGGCGCATATTGTTAACATTAATGAGTTTATTTCGTCACTTCACCAATGTCCAGTACCGACAGGAGCCTTCTCCGCCAGCTTTGATGTTGTTTCCCTTTACACAAATGTGAACAATGTGGATGCAGTGCAAGCTGCCTTATCTCAGAGAATCAAGATCGCCTCCCGACAATGGGATTCTCCTCATGCGAAACAAGGGAGCTCATTGAAGCAGATTGGAATGCAACATTTTTTTGCTTCAATAACACTTTTTACAAGCAAGAACGAGGTCTGGCCATAGGGCAACCGTATAGCATCAGTCCTGGCAGTCATCTTTTTAGACCACATTTTAAAGTCATCATTGACAAGTGGAGTTATATTCTACAAACGCTATATTGACGATATGTTCGTTTTCGCGATAACAGAGGAAGATCTTGTGACCACCTTAGAGAGACTAATTCACACGATGCTAACGTGGACTTCACCAATGAAGACCCAGGAGCGGATGGATTTTTACCGTTCCTCAATACTTAAGTCCGTAGAGAGGGCTACACCTTTGGTATAAGAAAACCGCCTCTTCTGACATCTTACTGCATTCCAGGAGTGCTCATCCGATTCACATAAAGGCTAATGTTGCTCGAAATCTCGTGAACGAAAAGGAAGCTTGAGACGCGAAGGGACCCAACCGTAGTTGCAGAGATCAAAATGTCCTTGAAAGCGACGAATATTTCGAAGGAAATTTGAAAACATGGGTCCCACATAGGTCACCAGACTGGGTGGCTCTCACATTGCCTTTTGTTAACGACCAATTGGCACGTGAAGTGAATCGCGTTGTAAAGAGTTCTAAGCTTCCCACTTCGACTCGTCTTCCGCCCTCCCCCTACAATCAGAGCATTCCTTACTTCCTCCCGGATCTATGAACACCGGTTTCACGAACAATCTTGTCGGTGCGCACTCTAAGCATCACCCTCAAACATGGAAACGAGAACCTTCCGTCCTTCGATGTGAGTGTTCTGCAAGATATCTGGAACGACCGATTGAGAGAAGAATCATGGATGCGAGGGAAATCCATCGCATTAAGCCACAAATGGGATTAGTTACGTGACCTTTCAAGGGTAATCGCGTAGTAGATGCGACGACAGATGACCCGTGCCTTAGGGCTGCTGGGCAGTCTCTTCCGCACTCATACCGCCGCACCAGCAGGCTCACCCCACCCCACCCTCGGTAGGTCTTAATGCTGGTGTTGATTAAGTGTAGCTATAGGTCGCTAATGTTGTGTAATCTGAAGGTCTGATGACGTCGTTATCGCCAAAAGCCTACCAATAATGGATTCGGCGAGAGCTTCGAATTCATCTATACTAGCATAGTCGAATGTGTTTACAGAAACAAATTATTATGTTACAAGTACTCAATCGTAAGTAACTACAAAAAGATAATAAAATTGTTTAGGGGATTCTCAGTGGCAACAGTGTTCAGCAACAACTCTCATTTTACCACTTAACTTCTTTGTTTTTTAACTTTGTATAGTCCCTGTCCCTTTTTTGTCAACCCTACTTCACTGATGATGCCTCGGGGTTGGAGAGACAGTGATGTTCCTCTTGGGGGTAAGAGGCGAACCATCTGTAATTTCAAGTGTTTTCTTTTCTCAATATTTTTTATCTTCGTTTCTAAATCGTATATCGTCTTAATTTCATTCACCAACTGACTGCCTGTATCCCACGTTTCCCACTCTCCGGGTTCCTTTAAGCCGAACTATAAAATTTTGAAATTCTAGTAGCAAGCGCCGTCCATCTGTAGCATGCTCCAGTATGGGTAATTATGGAGTTTCTTAATTTCGTCCGCCAACTGATTGACTATTGGTCCCACTTTCCCAGCCCTTCGGGCTCTTTTGTAACCGAATTACGAAATTTGGACTTTCTGCAGCGAGCCGCCATTTAACGGCCCGTGCAATGTTTGTATATCTTCTTTGTTTCATTCAGCAGATGGTTCCCTATCTTCTCTCACTTTTTCCGCTTTCCTCCATCTAGACTCGAATTTTGAATTTTCGAAACAAAACCCGCCTGAGTAAGGGCAAACGCCGCCCATATTGGGCGGAGCTTAGCTCAATTCGTGTGCGTTTCGTACATATTGACGCGCGCCCTACCCATCCCACCCACCGGGCCCCTTGAACTGGCTCTTCAGGTGGTGCCGAGTTTCCGGACAGATACACAGGCAAACAGACAGACTTTGCCGTTTATACACAGTATAAAGGGATACTACTCTTTACTAGCAGAGGTTCCATTATTATAGGTACGCAAACGCAGATGTTGTTGTAGTTGATATCCTTCTTGACTGCTACCTTTATACTTGCTCTTGAAACAATATAACTTTAGTGAGTGTATCTTCTTACATCCTTTTAACTTCTCGTCCCATGTCTATCTGTATTCATTTCCCTTTCTCCTAATCGCCATAATACTCTCTTTTTTTTATAAGATTTTAATTGACTGCTATAACGAACCTATATTCTTCTCGGGAAGAAAACCTGAGATTCTGTTCCCTTCCCATCCTCCAACCACTGCGCTGCTCAGAGGATTCTATGTGCTCTGAACAACGCGATGTGCTTCAACACCGCAAATGCCTTTCCTAGTTCAGTGCGCGAATTTGGAAGCCAAATATGAAAGTAATGTCCGAACACACTCTGGATTATACATCTCATCTCGAATGACCATGGCGAGTTGGTACCCTTCTCTTGTTAGCCTCGCGACCGTGTGAATATAATGTGATAATTTCCTAGATAACTGTCGAAGTAAAATACTTTTATAGTTACGTATGAATATCAACTACGATGCTCTAGCGCGGCGCGCTGGGCAGGCGGTAATTGCGAAATCTACCCCTCATTCGCCTTGTTGAGTATTTAAGGACGCCATGCTTGGCAACTGAAAATGTGCGAACCTTCATAAGTTATAGGCAGTAAGAGATAACAGGGGTTACCAGAAACATTACAGGAGGTCAAAGGAGCAACTTCTCACTCAATCCTCCCATAAGTGCCACTTCCTTCGTTTCTACTGCTTCTTTTTCTTGCGTTTCTCTTCCGTTTCATCTCTCTTTCTGTATTTTTCTTCGATTTCGTGGGATATCGTGGTGATAGGGTTTTTACAGGAGAAAGATGGCAAGGGAAGCTAACTAACGGGGTGGGAGAGTAATTGATATCCGCAGTTCTATATAATAAATATTTCACTTCGACACCAAGTTGTCCAGGAAAACATCACATTGTATCACACTGCTCATGTCAGTTATAATGGTTTTTTCACGACATTTATTCGCACAAAGCACCGAGTCCTGAGACGATTGTTCTAGCGCACCTTTATAATTAAACGTTCCAAAGGTAGCGCAAGGAAGATCTCAAGGAGAGAAGAGCAGCAGTGCTGGTGGAAAAGAGACTGGAAAGAGCATCCGCAACGCTCGCCGCGACTTCACTGTTAGACCAAGATGACCGCCCTCCGACGTCCGGATGGAACAATCACCGCATCCAGAAGGGCAATGGAGAAGGTCATCCATGACTTCTACTCGGATCTCTTTGACAGCCACGTCCGCCTGCCACCATACCGCTTGCAGCAGGATGGATACGCCGTTCTTGCATTTCTCCTTTCCGAACGACAGGCCATCTCGTCGGAGAAGAATCGTACGGCACCCGGTCCCGATAGGATCGAATCGGAACATCTTAATCTGCCGCCAGTTCCTAATAGACTCTGGCTCGAGTCTTTACGTGCTGCCCGCAGGAATGCAAGGTACCCATCTCGTTGGAAACCAGCGGGACTGCATTGCTGTACAAGAAGGAAGACCTGCACGGAGCATCGCCTAGTCTGCCTGCTGTCTGTAGTCTACAAACCCTTCACACGAGTCATCCTAAACAGGATTGACAGAACACAAGACGAAGGACAGCCGTGCGAGCAAGCAGGGTTTCGGAGAGGATTCAGCACATCGATCACATCCACACGGTAACGAAGCTCATCGAAGTATCGCGGAGTACAAGATGCCCTTATTTCTCACGTTCATTGACCTAAAGAAAGCCTCCGTTCCCGTTGAGACAGAAGCGGTTATCGGAGCCCTGGGCAACCAGGGTATTCCTACTCACCAAATCAGGATTCTTCGTGAGCTCTAGAGCAACTTAGCGCAGGACCTCACCATTCCACCAAATTCATAATCGACGTGAAGAGAGGAGTCCGACAGGGCGACACCATCTCGCCCAAGCTCTTCAGCGTCTCCATCGAGAAGGTCATGCGTCAACTGGAATGGGAAGACACGGAAGTGAATGTCGAGGGTTGCAACCACACCATCTCCGCTTTGCTGACGACATCGTTTTGATAACACCAAACATCGAGCAAGCAGAGCGAATGCTGGCAGTTTTCGACTGCGCAAGTGGGAAAATCTTCCCACATCTGAATCAAGAAGACGATGCTCATGAGGAACGGATTGGTTTCTGATGCCCCATTCACGCTCAACGAAACCAACATCTCAACTCTCTAGCTATGTGTACCTGGGTCTGGAAATCAATCTGATGAATGACTCAACACCAGAGCTGATCAAGAGGAAGCAAACAGCTTAGGGACTTCTCAAGAGCATAGAGGGAGTAGCGAAGAAGACGCAGAACACCAGGCTCCGTGCCCACCTCTCTTATCCCGCGGTCCTTCCTGCTTTGACCTACGTCTCAGAGACTTGGACTCGACGAAAGCGAGATGAGCATGCGGTTAGCGTCATAACGCGCCATCAAAAGGGCGATGCCCGGAGTTTCCCGCTACACGCATGTAAGAGAGGGAATCCGGAGTTGCGCACACCGCCGACGATGGAAGATCAGAGACGCAGTTTTGGAGATCAGGTGGGCCGGGCACGTCATGCGTTTCGTGGACGACCGCTGGACCAGAGCGATTATCGGCTGGATTTCACAAGCGAACGCCAGGACGCGATAGCCAGACTTTTTCGTGAAAGCTCTGAACGAATGGCATGAAGTCCATCGTGTCCCTCAAGCAGCGAGCACTCATTGGCAGCCTTACACGTTGCAGGGACAAATGGAGACGTCACTGACCCCCACTCGGTGAACTCGATGATCGATGGGAGCGCAGGTGACAGGTGATCAAAAGAAAGACGAAGGTTTGGCGCAGGATAAGGAGATCCTTTTAAACCTGTCAAGAGGTTCTGGTCTGATATTAATGGCGTGCCCACTTCATTACTAATGGCCATCAATTTACCAGGGAAGGCCAAGAGGTCGCCACGGCCATCCGAGATGGAATGCATAGCGACGTACACGTCTCGGGACGCTGAACTCGAATCTGCTCCCAGAACTGGACAAACGATTATCTGGGAGGAGTTAGGTGGAGGGGGTTCTAGCACAGCACACGTCCCTCCTTTGTGTAGTTCAAGTAAAGGTCGAGCATGGATGATCCCAAGCGGTCGATGGTGTAGATAGGGAAGTTGTTTATCAGTGCGAGGTGTTCATGACTTCGAATCCTTGACAGGCTCGCACTTTTGCTTCTTTCTGAAATCTACTGTGGGTCTAGAAAGTTTTTTTATTCCATTATTTCGTCAAGCTTGCTCTCATTTTCTGCGGAAAAAAAGCGAAGTGCCGGCAGTTTTGTTGCTCTCGCAAGAATTGTATTATAAAACACACAAACTCAAACGCACAACGAATGAAGAGCTCTCCACAACCGATGTAATCACAGTGTCTCATCAATAGGAAAGAAGCGATAATGAACAGCAACTTTAAATTCACCAGGATTTGCATCGAAATATCCCGCTACGTACCAGGAATAGGACGAGGAGTTCTTAAAAGGATTAGAGCAAAATTGAAAGTGAAAGAGAGAGAGAAGACGGAGAACTCTTCGTCTAGTGTAGAGAAAATAATATCGTGAGCCACTACATACGAAGTGAAGCGCTCATATGTCGACTCAACGACTTAAGCGGTGAGAAGAAGTCAACGTCCAAAGGTCGATCTGTCCAATATTGTTTCCCACTGTGACTACACCGGATGTAGAAAGTTTTTCTTCATTCGTTGTGCTCACCGCGAGAGGCTGTTTTACTTTGATCATAGTGAAGGAACACTACATGTGCTCTTGAATAATTGTAATTTGACTCGTTCATGAATCATCTATTAACCGATTATTTTTATAACTCAAGTCTTGAAACAGAAGCATGCCGGCATTTCGCTCCTTTCCAGCTGCAAATGAGAGCAAGCTTGGAAAAATAATGGAATAAAAGTGTTTTCTGGACTCACAGTAGATGTTCCAGAAAGAAGCAGAAGTGCTATCCTTTTGAAGAATCAACTCCTGGCCTCGCATTTACCTATCAATTAACTTTAACATTAACTTTAACTTTAACTATTAACTTACCTATCAATTACACCATCATCTGCTTGGGATTATCTATGCTAAAAATTTTTGTGGTAGCGACGAGCTACCACAAAAGAGGACGGCGAGTGCTATGCTAGCACCCCCCCCCCCCGCAACTCTTCCTAGATAGTCGTTTGGCAAATTCTGAAAGCATGTTTGAGTCCAGCGTCTCGAGACGTACTTGTCGATATGCATGCCATCTTAAGAGGCATGGCGACCTGTTGCCCCCCCCCCCCGAATGAATTTTCCCATGGGGCGCACCAGAACCAAGTCTTCTCTTTCGAAACCTTTCCGATAGTTTCCGACTGGAGTGAATGGTGGAAAGCCATGAGTCTCGGACCAGTTTTCAGCAAAAGCATCTAGCTCAAAGGAAGAGTAGCATCTTAGACACTCATTGTTTGAAAGGGCTTCATTAGGTACGCTCCACTTTGCGAACGGTACATGAATGTTTTTCCAATATATGGTGTAAGCTTGTTCAGCCGCGCACTGCTAGCCTCCTCCTTTCTGATTTGTATACCAGACCGCTGTTGTGTTGAGTCCAGCCAGTAGTGTAATTGCGCCTGTCTGCTAAACAGCGTGAGTCAAGCATACAAGCTACTATCTCTCGTTCGTGTGCCACTCTGGTCTGAGCATGGGCCACCCTAGTTCTGATGATTTCCATTTCCCGCTTGTACTGCCGTATGCTTGCTGTCATGCTTACCGAGGTGAATTCCCCAATAAAGCTAGCGGCCCTGCGAATAGTGACTTTTCGCTTGCGCTTTTTTAGCAGCTTGGCAAATGGTGGCTAGCTCCTGATCTGAGGCAGAAAATTGGAAAATTATTGGATTGCTAGTCATTCCGAGAAACTTGTAGCATTGGAGGATTTCGTCAAAGATTTCTGACTTATAACCTTGTACTGCTTCCGAAACCTAAGGGTCTTTTGTAGGATAAGACCAGTTTTTTTTTGAGCTAGCCTACCTACCCGAGCTTTGGACTCGTCATGGAGAGCGAGCTGTTCCTCAACCCGAATGACACGTTTGTAAAATGACCTTTCCCTTTCCTGACGAATATGTCTTCATTGTCTTCCCGCTACCATACGTCCTTTGCATTCCTCTTGTACAAGCGCTTCAGCGAGTTTTGTGCACTAAGACTTTCCCATGGTTTCTGTAGTGAGTTTCGGTCCCATAAAATCTAGACAGACTCCACTCCAAGGCAGACCCGCTGAACAAACGGGCTCCTCCACCCAGAAACGACGAAACTTGTGAACCATTTTAGCTGCTCAACTCCTAACGATTTGCAATGGCATGGCTTGACTAATGAACGAAGATGGAGAAATGAAACGCTGTAGAACACATCTCATATACCTTTCTCTTCTTCTAGTTACATGTGCCTCAACGCCGAATGCCAATACCTCCATTGCTTGCTCTAAGTAGCAATCTGAAAACTAAGAGGGACCTGCGCAATTTCCCTCGGGCGGTCGTCATGAAATTGAGGTCGGGAGTAGCACTTCTG